TTCTACGGCTTAGAAAAGTAAATGTGGTTTGTATGTCGAAACAGCATGTTCTGACTAGAGAGTCAGTTTGCTTGGAATAGAAAGCCTTATTTCGGGATTCTAATAGGTTTTTCGTTAATCGTCTTTGTTTCAGTGACATGAAGTTGGAAACTCTGCAGCTTATGAGAAACATTCTGAAGAACAAGACTCGACGTTAATTCATCGCTACTTTCGTGAGTTATGCCCTTGTCTATTTATATTTTATTCAGGAACCATTTTGAGTAACTTCTGTTTAGTTTGGAATGAATAATGATAAACCTACGTCTATGGTATCCGGAATAATGTTTCATCTTTGTGTTGCATTGCTGACACGAACTCAGCTCTTTAGTGAATGGGACATTTTGTCTAACCTCGTCAAACATGCAGCCAAGAGAATAAATATTGTGGCATGGCTGTGTTAGACACGGATACACTGTTTCAGGAAGTCTATCACGAGAGAGGCCTTTTGGATTTATCGTAAATATATAAAGTTTCACAAAATGTATTAGGTTACAACCTCAAATACGTTCAAGTTGGGGTTCGTGAAATTCTATCTACTTGAATGTTTGCTTGAAGCACTAGTGCAAGGTGAAGTTGACAATTTCAAAACGCGTGCGGGTACGTTTCAAAAATTCGATGGTGCACCGCTTTGCCATTGTATTTTGCCGAACTAGTGTGAAGGGTTATTTTTTGTGCTTATATCGCCACAATTTCTCTCGGAGGGCGCGTCTTAAAAATATGAATCCCTAATAACTGCCTATTAAGTAGTAAACCTCCCTCTGGCCTAAGACAAATAAAACTGAGTTGGCTTATTTGTTTAGGAATATAGCGCCAGATGAATAAAAATGAGCATTGAGCGACTTATTCAACTGCTTCTATACCGAAGACACGTTTAACGCGATTTAACACACAGACATCCGTTAGAGGCAACGCATCTGTATTTACCCTAGATTTCTAGAGGAAGGAAATTGTTCTGGAGCGAGAAAAAGGTGCTACAAGATTCACATAATGCAGCGGATCTTTCTAATTTGCCTTGTTCGAAGTTGTTTATAGTAACATGTTTTGCTGAAGACGGCATTAGCATAGGCTTGTCAAGTTATTAGCAGTCGTGGAAAAGGACTGACTTTAATACATCCTGGTCATCAAATATTCTTTTTGAATCAGTTAATGCCGGTAAAATTGTGATGAATGCTGGTGGCATCGTTTGATGTTGTTTCCATCGATAAAGCGCGAACGCAAAATTAAAATTGTGTGGGCGAAGACTACAAAACTTGCCAACTAAATTGCCTTTTAAACTCTCGTACATGCATTAATGTTTCCTAATTCTGACGAAAATTTAGCCTTGCACTGTAATTTGGTAATTTGGAGGGTCGACTATTTTCTCGCTAGATTAATTGTCAAGAATTATTATCATCCTCTTAAAAATACATTTTCGCTATTGCCTGTGAATATTTTTATTTCTAAGATGTTTATTTGCAAATAAAAATTCGCTTTGATAACGAATGAGATAGTGGATTTTTAGCTTGGTTAATATTAAAGAAGATGGTGATTTTCTGTCAGTGAAACAGGCATACTCGGAGAGCCAAGACCTCCTGGCTAATAGTCCAGATGTACTGTACCGGGAGCATCTCTGCAAGAGACCCATGGGAGCTGAGGCCATTAAACTAGGTTCAAATGATTCCAGTCTCCTGTAGCCAGTGGTAAAGCATCTAGATTAGTAACAAGAAGGTCTTAGGTTCGACTCCTAGATGGAGCACTCGGAATTCTTTTTCAAAGCATATGCCTGTGTCAGTGACAGAAAAAATCATATTTAATTTTCAAAAATTTGCTTTCTTTGGATTTTTACGAAGACGTGATATAACGAAAATCTCATATATGATACAGATGTCGTGCTATCCAGGTTAAAATTTACGAATGGCAATTAAAGCTGAAATACCATTTATCTCACAGTGGTTGGGGTGTTATCAGTACTGTTCTTGTATAGAATGTTAATTCAAATCTCTCACTATTATGTTTCATTCAGCAACTGAACTTTCTTACGTTGACCCTTGTCAGTATCGTTGTTGTTGTTTTTGTTGTTCTTGTTTCGGTGTTCTTGTTGTCTTTTTTTGTTCAGTTTGCTTTTTTTCTCTTCTCGTGCTAACTGAAACACAATGCTGACGAAATCTCTAATCGTGACAACACATTTTAATCGTGCGGTCAGTCTTTGTAGTGTCAAATAGTCTCGCCAGCACGTTTCATCATACGACAACAGCAAAGACCTTTATCAGACCTAATATATAGACAAGTCAATCACCCACCACTGTAATAGAAATCATGTGTGTTTTCGCACTATCAGTTTTATCTTAATGGCAGTTTTAATCAACAGCTATTATCCAACAGTTTATAACTTCTTTTCCATTATGTTATTTGAAAGTTATTAGAGTGCCTTTAAAAAATGATGGTTTCGGCAAACGGCAAACAGAAATAATTGCCCCCAGTTTTCTTTTCCTCTTATCTTAAGATCGATCCAGCCAATTAATAGAGAGATATCTCCAATTCACAGCAATTCAGATACAAATATTTTCACTTCCGTGAGAAAACACCTTAAAACAGACGGTAAACGCCGTAAATTTAAGAGTTTACGGAGAAAAAAGTGGGTATATTCAGCAACTAGAAACACGGAGAAAGAAACACAGCTGGGGTATCACGGCTGGAGACACATCCGTTGTTTCATATGCAATTTAAATGAGCTAAATTATTGTTTTTGGCGTGTGGCTATCATTTGGAATATCTTTTTCTCGCTTGTTATCATTTTCGCCCATTAAGCTAGGTTTTCAGCCTACATTGAACATAAAATTGCAAACGAGGGGAAGGGAAAACATTTTAATTAACCTTTATTTTTATGTGTGTAACGTGTTTTTGGGTGCAGTATTGTCAAAGCTAAGAGATTTTTATTTTTATTTCTATTTCTTCAGTTTATTGTTTTCTTTTACTTCCCTGCTGGTTTAGGAGCTAGGTGATACAAAAAAAATGCTTTCAGGCATTGGTAGGCCAAAATTGCATAGTCTATTGTTATGTAGGTACAGTTATGCTGAAGCCAACGCTTGCTCTTATTGATTGACTTATGGTCCCGTGGCAATGGCTAAATCTAGATACTGTTTTGATAACTTTTATCCTAAGAATTCTATGGCAAATTCCCTCATTCATAACAATTAACTCAGTGAGACCTAGCAATCCTGAAAATTTGAGGTCAAAAGCTTTAAATCCTTCTTGAGATATCTTATCTCAAAGGTAAAAATAACTCGTTTTGAGCTCGAGAAAATGAGCTCAATACCTTAAGATTCAAATTCCGGTATAAAAACGAAAATTCCACATTTTTACAGAATTTCGGGTAGAATGATATCTGAGATCTGAAATGATTAGCAATTATTCCACGAGCGCACGTTGGATGTGAGATGATAGATATCCAACGAGGAGCATAGCGGCGAGTTGACTACTGAACCATCTCATATTCAGCGAGCACGAGTGGAATAACTGTTTTATTAAAAAACGCCCCCAAAATATAGAGAACTAAAATGAAATCAAAATAAAAACGCACCAAAAAATTACACGCACGCTTACCATTTTTATAGAGCATGGTGTAATGGCTCATAACCTAGACCAATGAAAACTCTCGAATTGCATTTTCCAATGATTCAGTTTTTGATAATTATCGATAGCTGCGAAATGGTCTGAAATTTTAACTTATGCCGAAAAATCGCCGAGAATGAGACTGAAAACTGAGATTCCAGTCCCTCACGTTCATAGCTTCCATGTCGTTTGCTGTGTTTAGCTTTTAAATTGAGAAAAAAAACATTTATCTTATTCTTAAATCAGATATTCTTTCGCTTCATAACACGCTTTGTTGTCGAAACAAAATCCAGCTGACATACATACTAACTTATTGATAAATTTTCAAAGGCTAAGAGTAACAATGGAAAACTTTCTTTTGTTATGTAGGGAAACATGCCTGGTTTGTGTAACGTGGGTGGGGACTTATTATTAATTACCACCATCACTCTCTGGATACCCAAACATTTATCTTTCTCAAAGTTACAAAATTCAAACCATAGAAGGGAATGAGAGGCACCGTTTGTGTGTGTTTTGCACCATGGTTTTGGGATGAGTTGTTGAAACTGTTTTCATCTTGTATTGTACTTCAGTTTTAGGAGTGTTCATGTATTCAGCTGTTCTCTCTTGTAGCAGTAAAATTATTGTTATTGATTTAATAGAAGGGTTGATGCAAATACTTCAATAACGCTATTGTTTTTTACAATGACATGGTTTATTTGGCCACCCATTTTTCTAAATACTTCACATCTGCCAAGTTTCGTTCGATACACAGTAAATTAAGCACGAAAAGTAAATAGATGAGTTCGTAAGTTGGACCGAAACTTGTTGGCCTCGAACTGACTGACTGACACGACTTTGCCTCGATGTTGATATAAATTCCCTGCGTAGCTGACGTAATGTGTATTAATTATGAAACACCATTAGTGCCTGGATTATGTAAATATAATTCCGGACAATGATGTCTTTTTCAATTTCGTTCAAAATGAACACAAAACCCTGATGCCTTGATGTTTTGGTAATGAGGGCTTCTCATGGTGACATCATAGTAGGAGAACTTTCAAACACGGCAAATTTACGACTTCCTATCAAATCTCGTAAAAATTAATGAGTTGTAACTCACATTGCTGGCTTCAATAAACTGAATACTGCAACCAGCTAATATTTGGCGCCTTGCCTGCCAGTTTTTATTGGAACTCAAGGTGAAAAGGAAAATATGTAAATTTGGAAATATTCTTCGCATTTCGTCGAACATCGATTTAATTTCCTTACCGAGAAAATCGTCACAAGGATTTCTAGAATATCAAGGCTTGCGGCTTTTTTCGCTGACATTTTTTTCTTTTTCCATCTTCAGAACAACAAGTTCAGGTAGGAAATTCATTAATTTATAAAAGATGCTTATGATTAACCGTCTAACTGTAGGACACATTACGTCCGCCACATTTCACTCGCTAAAAATCCAATTTTGCTGTTGGAGTGCTTGAGTTTCTAGACGAATATAACAGCAGCTGTCGAGTTAAATCAGTTCAGACGATTTGACTCCTTTTCAAGTAAACGAAAGTTTAACTCGTTCGCTTAGTTTTAATTTTCAAAATGCGGTGCCAAGTTGTTGTTTGTAATGAAAATGGTAAATTGTAAAGAAATTTATCATGCATCAAGCGCCTTCGGTTATAATTTTAAGACTAAGAACAATTTATTTTCAGTGGCATCGGCTTCGAGGTAAACGGGCATCCTTGAGCTGAGGATCCTGTGGTCGGCTCAGAGATTTTCGTAAAGGAGTATCTAAATAACTTAATACACTACACAGAATAACTAAGATACAATCCAGATAAACTGACGATAAAACATTGCAAATCTGCAAACCTTAACGTTTATCAGTGGAATTTCAGAGTTATCAGTCCTAATAGGTAGAAAATGCTTAACATAGAGCAGTTTTTGCTACGGCATACATCAAATTTATAGACTTAATTCATGAAAGTGAAGAATGATCATCGCAGTTACTTTTCCAATTTAAGCAATTGGAAAGAAGAAGCCTGAAAAAATTCAGGGCTTCAACGGCAGAAAAGACCAATAAGAAAGAATTATAGCGTTATAGTTTCAACAATAAGAATATAATTCGGAAGCAAAGTTTATTTATTGGCTTATCTCTTTATCCTGAGTATCAGAATTGGTTTTAACTCACGAAATACCCTATTTTGCGGTATTAAACCGGTGCTTATCATTGCGGCATGACCAAGATGTTTGGAGTTTTATCTCAAGAAATATTATTCATTATCTATCCAATAATTTGGTGGTCGTTACATAAGGAGCTCATCTATTTACAAACCTTAGCTTGCAAGAGATGTTTTCGGCTATTTATAAATACCTAGTTTATCTTAACGATTCTCCCAAAACAAATATTATAACATTCACCTGACACCATTAACTGTGGAAGAGATTTAAACAGGATGTATAATTTGCCACGAGGTGGAAGAGGTTTGAAATAAAACAATCGGACTGGGAAATTTTAACTGAAGAACTAGCTGCAAAATCCTAAAGGAAATCAGTAAATAAAGACTGGAGTATTTTTCATTTCATTTCGTTAACACTTTGAGAAACAATTTTTTGTTATGCATTGAGTTTAGTGTTGTAAACTATGGTGTTCATTAAAAACAATAGTGCTTTTATTTAGCCGTGAGGTTCATGCTGCGACATTCTTCTTCTCGTTAATGAGAAAAGACTCTCAAATGGCTTGGAGCTTTGTTAGAGCACGGTTGTGAATGAGTCGATTGTATACCGACTGAACAGTTTAAGCCATTTTCTTACTCCTTTGATTCTGAAAAGTGATTAGCATCTTGAAGAAGATCTAAATCAATCACACAAGCAAGGTACCCGTAAAATAATCGAAGAGACTTGTGTTACGGACCTGATTCCATATTTTTCGAATAGCTCTCAGTATCAAGTTTAACGTATACAATTATATCCTTTTATACATCAGCATCCTAGTTTCCTTGCAATAAGAATGCGTTCCTAGTGTACTGGTGACATGAATAAAAAAGAAAATATCAAATAGACCAGAGGATGAACTTGATTTAACACCAATTTCTAGGCGGTCGATAGGCAACGTTTAGTACACAAAATGACGGTGAATAACACGCAGTAAGGACTTGACATTTACAACACGGATAACATTGTGATTCTAATTACTGCGTTATCTCGTGGCCTGTGGCATTGTGTCTTGTTTTAAGCCAAGAAACGTTTCTCTCACAGCGTCTCTATACCAAGGGGTGCTGGATACCAGTGAAAAATCACGGACCCCTAACCAGACATAATGCCATAGGGGGAAGGACAGGGGAGTGAACCTATGATAAATTATCATTTTTTCAGGGTTTAGCATATCCCCCGCAGTCTGGGGGAGATAAAAATCGAGCAGTTTTCAAAACGTCCTCCAGGTACAATTGTCAGTGACGTCAACAATTTTTACACAACAAAATCATTTGGAAAGAGAGATACGTGGATCTTTCTAAAACGATGCGGCGAAATGGATTAAATTCTAGCACATTGATGCAGGCGAGAACACCGTGTTTTAAATTTGATTGCAAAGTTATCAGCAAAATTTAGTGGCAGTTTTTAACATCTAGCATGCATTAACACCATGCTAAACTTGAAGGATTTTATTCAATACAATTATATAAAATCTTTTGAAAAATGCGCTAAATTACATTTTGAGTGAGTTTGCAAACCTTAGTATAAGGATAGATTCCGCATCTTTGAAATTACCGCCGTATTGAAGCGGGGCTGGAGGAAAACTAAGAGGAAAATAGTTTAAGTACCCCACTCTACATCTGCCCTACAGCTTTCCGTCTCATTATGTTGGACAAGCAGAATGTCTACCACTTTTCACCATATAGTCATTTTTATCTCAAGCCCATGTAAATCCCTGTAACACAGACTAGGCGTGCCTCCCTAAAGTACATGCGTGCTTTAAAAAAACACAAGACTCTAAAAAACTCAGCCTTTATATAATTTCTAATGCCTTTTAACAAACGATTTGGCTGAATTTGTTAAAGATGTAATTGAGAGTCCTAAGCAAATATTTTTGGGCTGAAACATCCTTGCAACCAAATGATTGGCCCGGGGGATTCTGTTGACGCCTTTCGTGGGCGAATTCCATAGAGATGTTTAAATTACCTTTGTTTTCATTGCCATTTAGCTTTGCAAGGTCAACCAAATGTGTAATGTTCCTGTGGGATCTCAAGTGTGAAATTTCAAATCGCGGACTTGCAAACCAAAATTAAAAACATAACAATTTTTCGTTGAAAATTATGGATTTTAAGACTGACTGCATGGAATATTTTGTTTCTCCTTTAGTGAGCGTAGTTTACTCACCTGCTAAGAGAGGTCCCAAAGTGTTACGAAACGTGATCGTTTAAGCGCGCTATTTACCAATTAAGTGCGTGCCGCAAAGAGTTACATGACACTCTGTCAATCCTATAGCTACCTGGTGGCACGATGAAAGTGATATTATCCGAAACGAATTAACGCTTTAAGGAAAATCATTAGTTCAGATATTCCGAACCAGACCGCTAAGTCTAGCCAATTAACAGTATTGTCAAGGCGGTGACACTTCACAAGCCTTACAAAACTGCCGCAAAGCATAAATTGTATTTTATGTGCGTAGAAATTCTAAGAGATTTTCTTGAAGGCCGCTGTAACATAATTCGCTTGATTTATCCCTTTACCACCTGTTATTCCATGACGTACTGAAAATGAATAAATCACCGACATGTAGGCAAGGATAAAAACAAAATTAGTTGGTAGCATTGTTTAATTTTCGTCGAGGCTGTGAATATAACCCGGTTTAAAGGGAAGCGAGTGTACCAGTGATATAGATTTCTGAGGATTGGAGGAGAACTTTGCTCAGGTGCGTAAGGTTTACAGGGGTTGAATGAAAAGTAAAACGGTGAACTTTCGGGTCCATATTTCCTGCTCTGGATAGTTCTTATGTTTAACACAGCTTTGGTGGAAATCTGGATATAAAATTAAATTTCTGTTGTTTTATAACCTTCATCAGTTACACAGGTAAATACAAAACTACGGTAAATTTCTTGTCAACAAATTTCTGCCCTCATTATCCGCTAAACATAGACTATTATATTGTACTGAAAAATAAAAATCACTCAAGTTTGTAGATCTAAGGCTTTGTCAATAAAATCTACCATTCCGACGCCGTGGACAACGTTACATAGAAACGCGTTTAACGCCTTGGTTTGCTTTATCAATATGCAACTCAAAGACACCTACAATTGAGAATAAAAAAGTCTAATTTTATCAGACGCTTGGTAAAACCTAATGTTAAGAAACTGTAGCTCTTTGTAATTATTTTGCTGAACCTGAGAAGTTTCCAGTGGTGTTTAATTTTGTTAAGACTGTGGGCAGGAACTGGCTGGTTTTGTATACAAAAACTGGCTGGACTTATCTCGAACAAGTTCGATACCTCTCACTTACAAGACTGAGATATCCAGGCAATAACTTGCACTGTGAAACAACATTGTGCATTTCGAAAGCTCGTCTTGCAAAATTTATCACAGCGAAAATTGTTTTCAGTATTTTTGTTAGTATTTATTATTTTAAAACAAGTTCGACGTTTTATTTGCTTTTATTAGCTTTTAGAAGTGTCCTTTCAGTACATGACATAGCATATTTTCACTTCATGTTGTATACTTCATTTTTTTTTTCTTATGTTTTGCAAGCATAATAATTTCTGTGAATTAATTTCCAAAAATATCTCAGTTCCCTTAAATTATCTATATTGTGTTCTCCAACTACAAAGCACCATCGTCACTGTTACGCGAGACAACCCTCCCTGCCAAATTGCAGCACCATATTATTTTCTAAATTTAATTCACAAATGTAGGTGACATTTAATTCTTGCGGGTAGTTGGACATTTTGAAACACGACACCAGAATACATGCAAAGAAAATTTCCATTATCGTTTAATTGCCCAACCGTTACGTCGGAAACATACAGTTGTTTAAGTTTCGACGTCAGAAAAGCGGTTGCCAATAGATTCTTTGGTTAATATTGGAATTAAGATACGTGAAATGAATGCAGCGCTCCCTTTAATAATAGGTTAATTTCCACCTGTTCTTCAGTTGATTGCGTGCTAATGATCATTCACGGAAACCAGGAAAGCAAAACACGGAATAATTTCACTCAGAGAGTTGTGAGAACGTGTTTCTGCTTGGCTGTCCACGCTAACAGGAGGACGCTATTTCATTATAGGGTACAGTAGCTTACTTCGTTTTCTTTCCAAATGTGTCACTTTTTGATGTTCGTTCGTTTTTTGGTTTTTGAGGTAAGGTTGATGGGCTTTGACTTTACCATCCAACTGGTAAATGTATATACGTGACTATTTCAGGTGTCTTTTTGTTTCTTTCCGGAACTTGTCGCCCTTTTCGCTTTGAGAAGGCAGCGTGGCCGAGTGGTTAGGGCGCCGGAGTTTAAGTCCCGAGGTCGCTGGTCGAAGTCCCGTTCTGACCACTTGGCTGGAGTTATTTCTCGGTACACCGTGGTTCAGCTTCTCTGATCTGCCTCCCGCCAGTTGGAATTTTTAAGCCTATTTTGTTTAGTCAAGAGATTACCTTCATAATCTCTTGTTTTAGTCGATATGTTTGCTTCTTTTAGTTTAAGTTACACGCCTATGAACTAGCTATGTGTAGCTAAGCGCATTGACCACTATAAACGACAACATTTGAACATTTTGGAACATTTGATCATTTTGGGCATCTCAAAGACCAAAATATCAACTAATTGGCATCAACTTATTTTCTTGTCGCTATGGCTCACTTATACCATGAACTGAACAGGATGATCGCAAGCTAGACCTGTTCTCCGTGATACGGTTTATTAAGCCGTATTTATTTACCTCGTGAACTGTGTGGCAAGAGGTAGAAGCAAAAAATCATTGTAAGACAGGTGTCTCAAGATGACAGGCCGTAACGCGATTTCACCGTCACGTATTTCTCGTCGCCGCGGTTACCAGTCGTTATAATTAAGCCCCCAAGACGATTAGCCCCTAGCCAGTTAGCCCCCCACCAGAAGTCGATTAGCCCCCATTCACGTTTAAAGAACGAAAACTAGACAGTGTTTTCGACTTCAGTTCTGGTTGGCGGCTAAAGTATTAGGGGCTATTCGACTTGGGGGCTAAACGACCGGATACCTTCTCTTCTCATCTACGTGAAGTCAGACTGTCTAGATAAAAATCAAGTACCTCCTTTACTTTACTTCACTTTACTATCTAATTGAAAGTTTAACAATGAAGGTAAATCTCTTTAGGCATATGCCCATCTCACTTACCTTCCCACCCTGCCGCCCTCTCTCCCTCCTTCCTTCCTTTCTTCCCTCCCCCCTCCCCACCCAAACCCATTCTTGTTTACTTTCAGGACAATTTACTTTGTCTGATGTCCTTTGAACCAAGTTTAAATAACCGAGCCTTCAGAGCGGACAAACGTCTTTCAGCGGTCTCTGCTGTTAATTGCATGTAGTGTAGTGCAATTTAAATTTTTCACTGTTTACGCATTGTTTTGCAAACTTTTTACATAGAACGTTAATTTTCGAGCTGAGGTTGAACGCCCTAAATGTTAAGAAGATTTGATTCCGAAAATGTTTATACTTAAAACGACCTCAAACGCTATATTATAACAATTTTGCAAAGCAGGTGATAAATGACAATGTTGTTTCCAAGTTCGATGTGAACAACGGTTGATTCGTAATGTAAACATGTAGTATTTTCACTCTTACCGGAAGAAATGTACCAATGTTTTATTTCGTACATTGTAATGTCCTCGGCCGAATTTCAGCCATGGATTTGTTCTTCGCAACTCCTTCAGGTAAAAATTAAGGTTTTCCGAATACTGCAATGTTCTCCGCGTGCAGATAAAACGTTAACCCTTATCCCGTTAGCATACCGTCCTTCAACGCTCAAATTCGCAAGAACTCGCTTTTCCTGTTAATTGTAGTTGTTAACTTATTTCTAAATCTGTAGGCTCTCTAAAAGTCCATATCTCAAAAACAAATAAATAGACGCCATAATTTACCCATAAAATAATACTGAATATGACAGTCAAAATAATAGTATACACTAATGTTGGTTGATGCATATTTTATTCATAAATTTCCCTCTGCCTTTTCTTGGGATTAATAATACATTGCTTATCTTAAATCTAGCAATCTCGCGTAAATATCGAACTTCGTAAACTAAGCTCTTTATTTTGAAGAACCTAGAATGTCAGAATTTTGAAGAACCTAGAATTAATAGCCTTAATTTCGGACAGATGGTTAAATAGAGATGTCCAATGATGTTCTTAGATTTCAAACATTTGAAATCAATAGTACATTTTATGGAATTATTATATCTTATGCTATATGTTATATGTTGTAATTCAGTTTCGAAACTGATGTTGCAAACTTACAACTCGCTTAAACCGATTTTCCAATAATGTATTTCAGTTTCTCTCTGAATTTACTGAGTCATTTTCGAACAGTTAACTTTTACTTTTATTTTTAAAACAGTGGTACTTTGTTTTTATTTGAATCCCGCTGAAAAAAAAAATTCAGAGGTAGTAGATTTTTCTCAAAATGTGTCACTTTTCTTGAAAGATTTTTGTCTACGAAAACATTTTTTGAATGCTCGCTTTGGTCGTTCGATTCTTTCCGTTAGTATTTTACGTGAAGTTATTGGCATTAATAATGAATGCATTGTTGTCAAGGCTGAGCAATAATAAACTTCAACATGCAGGTTTTGAAATGCTCGCAGCTGGCACTGTTTCGTTCCTCGTAGGTATTTTCCTAATGTTACTTCGGACGAGCACGTCGCTTGGGCCAAAAAATAACTACTTAGTCAGAGTTTAGAAAACGAGGGTCTAAAATAGGCGTGTCCTCTAAGCCTACCTGAATAATGCACCAGAGTTTTAAGCATTTTTAAGAAACTTTTAGCGTGTAAAATTGTTTTGTCTTAAACGTTGCTCACGAGGCTCACTGGGTTCCCACTGCGTACATAACATAATGAATTATTCCACTAATAATGTGGTTAGAGCTAATCGTTTGGAGCAGGCGTACCGCAGGGGATTTATCTTAATTAAGTTGGTGAAGACGAGGGATGAAACAATGAACCATTTTCCTCGTTTTCTAAGAAGAAAGATCTCTATCAACTCGCTTATTACAAAGCTAGGGATAATATCTCCCGCCAGACTGTCTCTCTTTTCCTAATTTAATACTTTTTAATTCATGTAGAATTTCATTTCAGTGAAAAATATTCAAACTGGCGAAACAGTCTTGGTGTGCGATAGACTTTCTAAAATCGTTCGCTTTTCCGTTCTTAGTTAAAAAAAATTCTGGTATATTACAATTTAGTAACTCTTGTAACGGCGGAAAAAGAAAGCAATATAGAGTGCAAAGTCATACATCTTCAATCGGATCGTATGTTGTAAACTTTTTTATGAATCAGCTCAAAAACGTGATGAGGAAAAAAACTATTTATGTAATGATCTGAGTAGAAGTAATTATTTTTCCTAACAGTCGCTCTACACCACATGGCGCGAAATTTAATTGTCCTGCTCAGTACATAAAAATCCCCTAATGACATGAATTACTTTGCGCATGTCATGATATGAATCCTATAAAATAAACAAAGCTATTTCTGTTCAAGTTATACCTTGAAGAAGGTCATTCTCGACCGGTGGTAAACTATTATTGCTTCAATATTGTGAGTGTTTAAGCAATTTCCGACCCGTTGGTAATTTTGAAGACTTTCAACAATTGCTCGTCAGTTGAAATTGCGTGCAGCTGGTCCGAATAGGTTGATCAATGAAAGCGATTTCTAAAGGATTTAATTTTTCCTTTCGTTTCTCTTTTGTCTGCTTTTTCTTCATTTACACAAACTTGTAGTCACAGATAATGATATCGTGGCTTTCACATCGCGAAAAACTGTTAAATATTTCATGAGTTTACGATTAAGTCTTTGTCGAGATCTTATTACTACACGTTCGCCCGGCGGCAGTAGGCTAACCAACTGGCATTTTTGTCAGAAGCCGAGCTCTGATTCGTTGAAACACTGTTGTTATGGTAATTTCCCTTGATGTAGATAATCTAAAGCAAATAGTCAGAAATTAAGAGCTGCAAAAGCTGCCTGAACCTTCAGGACAGTCAAGCTGTACGTGTTAAAATTGCCGTTCTTCGAATCTTTTAATCAAGCCGCCAAAAATGTAAGAATGGCTTCACAATTGGTTTTCTTTATTCTTTGGACTTATCTCGTCGCTAAATCCGCTTAGTCGTTGGAAAACGCCAGAAGTGGTTTGTACTTGAGAAAAATCGAACTTTTGATCACGGGTTATTGACAGCGCAATCGCCAAACTAAAACAAGACCCGGTCTGGTCTTACTCGGTCATGGAGGTCATCAATTCTCCGGGGCTCTCCTCAAGCAGTTATCGGAGGGAAACTTTGTGGAATTTTCAACCAATTCGTTAAGATTTTCCAGAAGCGTTTTTTTACCGTATTCACCGGGTTGTAAAACTCAATATTAACTTCACATGGCTGTATATATTGCTTTGACAAACAGGTGTTGGCCTCCAACGGATCATGTGTCAACAAACAGACATCGAAACTACAGGAGTCTAAAATCTACACTTTAGATGACAATATTTGCGCTAGAATATTCATGTGCATTTGTGAGTTGACAATAATAATAGCTACTGGTCAAAGACCCTTCATCTAAACTCAAAATATCCAAGACATCGCTCATTTGCTATATTCATGTATTTTCAGGGACGAAATGCCTGTTGGACGAAGAGGACTTGTGGTGCCTCAAAACACTTTTCTGGAAAATGTTGTTCGGCGCTCGAATGGCCTTCGTAAGTAACACTGACATTGATGTTTTGCAAAAATGCTAAACAGACTTTTACTATAAACAAGAAAATTATTTCCATAAATTTAAGGTAGAAAATGACTTTAAAAAAGTCCTTTCAGTTTGATCTACGCTTTCACTAACACTTGGGAGCTGACATATTGACCTTTCAAGGGTGCCTGTTTTATTCCAAAACGAAAAATAGTTTTCCTATTTCGTGATTTGTGTCTCCGTGATACTTTGTCTGTTCGATTGCCTGATTGTTTCCGAGATATGGCATCTAAAAAGAAAAAAAAGAATTAGATAAAACAATACAATTCGAAATTAAAACTAAAAAAGTCTCAAAGACATTTGTCCAGCTATTAAAGAAGTAATTCGTTTGTGTATATTAGGACAAAAATGATCGCAAAATCTCAAAATAGCTTCTTGTAGTTTTCAGTTACTTCGATTGTGGGAAAATCCGGCGAAACTGAAAGAAATTTTGTACCTCAGAGAGTTTGTTTGTAATTACCTTTGTCGTTTTAGAATTTATTGTTTGATGTCTCAAAGTCAACCATATAGTGAACAGTATGTGTTTATTAACTTCTGTCTCGAATCACCGGCTAAATTCGATAAAAACATCGTATATAAAACCCTCTTTTCTGAAACATTGCGTCTATACCGGCAAAATTCTTCCCGGCAACGTTTTGAAAACTTATTAACGTAAACGAACTTTATCTTTATTTTAATAGTGACTAACGTATTCATCCAAACTTTTCAATATTAACATATCTAAAGAAAATAAATATGTATATCTAATTTTCTTATTCGATGAAATAAACTTGGTTAGCATCGAAGCTGGGTTTCAGAGGGTATTTGCCTCAGTTTGTTGACACAGAAAATTGGATACTGTGTACTATAACCCTAAGTTACAGTTTTTGAAATGATTCTGTGTGACTAAAGCCATCTGTCGACGTCTGAAAATGTAAACTAGCCAACACTTTTGAATGAATGACTTGAAGCAGGGTTTAAAAGTCAGATCCTTTCAAACTTGATTGTAGAAACTGATGTCAGAAAGTATGGTACTGTAAATTTGGTGGCGCTTTATGACGATCGACACTTTCTAACCTCAGTTTCTACATCACGAATTTAGAAATTCACAGGATTTAAAACAGATGTCATAACTAGAAAAAGGATACAAAATTTATTGATAGTACCAAGTTTGAAAGGATCTGGGTTTTAAAAACCCTGCTTCAAATAATTTATTCAAAAGTTTGAGCCATTTTCCATTTACAGACGTTGACGGAAGCTTGACGCCTTTCGCCACCTACTCATCCAAACTTTGGTAAATTTGACGTTTTTCATCAGGAAATATCTGGTTCAATATTTAACGAGTTCATTCAATATTTATCGTAGTTAGTAGATGACGTATACGTTATCGATATATCGTTTCTGTGCGTTTGCAAGACCAAATTTAATTTTAGATAAACTTACGCTGATGAGCAATTGGTCTTTCATATATTCACTTGCGAGGTAAACATGGCTTTGAATGGAAAACGGGTGGTTGTTTCTTGAAAAATTAATACTGTTTGATATAAAAAGAGTCTTATGACGGGAGTGTATGCGAAAAAAAAAGTTTTTTGATGCGGTATTCAAAAGGAATATAATGTAACGCCCATAATATCCTCCAAATAAATCTGCAGTGTAGAATAATTTGATGGCTTCGATCGAAGATTTCTGTGAAAATTTTTACAAATATTTTCAAAGAACACCTGGAAATTATCTCCACGTTTTCGAACAATTATCTCGTTGTTAGATTATAGCCGATAGTTTTCGAAATGTCCGAACTTTTCGAATGATTTGTCGAGTTTACTTCGAATTGATATTTTCCTGTCCTTACGTAACATTTGAGGAAAGCAGAACGAAGTATTGATCGGAAATATTTTTTTGGAAACATCAGTTAACCCCTTTAGCAACGCCGGAAACATTTCTTTCCGAAACAGTCTTGTTCGACGGAAACGAACTTTCGTTTTTTTGGACCATTTAGGGCAGAATTTCGCCCGCGAGTGCTGGCGGAATGTCGCCAATTGCACAGGCTACAAAAATCTTAAATCTGTTTCCCCGAGTGATTAAACTGGGAAGAACGTTCACTCGTTCCGTAAAAGTGTGAAGGTCTGGTTTCTCCTTGTAATAAAAATGATAAAAAAAGACAGTTATAAAAAGGCCCAATGAGGTAGAGAGAAACGAGAAAAATCGTCAACTTGAGGATTTTGTCTTGATGGATCATTAGTTTCTCAGAAACGACGTTGAAAGGAATGTAAGGAGATAAGTAATGAGGATTTATATTTAGAGAAAACCATTTTTATTGTTGACGAGAAAACCATGACGGATTAAATAGGGATTGATAAACAAAACGTATGAAATTAAACTATATTGTGTCTGACGGAAAATTCGGAAAACATATAATTGATTGCCTGAGAGTTCTCTTCGTGATCGGGACTGGACTGGCTTGGCCTCGTGGAAATGGAGAGGGAGGAGATCAAAATTAACAGACAGGAGAACTCTTTACTGATAAATTTTAACGCGATGAGACTTATTGGGCAAAAAGCTTTAAAAGAGATGTGGGTTTAGAAGCTAGAGCTTTTTCAGCAGAAAATATAACTTTGAATTGGTTTCTCATTTTTTGTCAACAAACTTTCTATAACCGCTTTATCACATAGGGAGAATTATTCAGGAACTATTCTTTTCCCGCATCAAAACAAAAATAACAGGCTATTCTTACAGACATTTTGTCTGGCTCTATTGTGCAGATTATACCTACTGCATGCATGCCAAATTGATTTGATGAGACCTTGTGAGGCGAGTTGAGTTAAAGCTTATTGCTATTTACGTGCAGAAAAGATCATTAGTTTTCGGTGACATTGGATGAATGCGAACTCAAGGCGTGGCACACGTGTCATCGAAGCTTTTGTTGTACTGTACCTTGTCTTTTCTTAAAGGCATGAAGTGGTGGCAGTATATAAGGGAATTAATTATCGTCCACAGTTCAGAAGCTTTATTTAAAATTAATGTAATCACTGACAAAGAATTTTCTGTGATCCTTGAAAGTCACCGGCTGTTTTTCAGTATATTTTCCATGACTTTTGTCCATTTCCGTCGGCTGATTAAACAGACACCCCACTGTCACGAAAAGGTTTGGTGAAATAAAAGAACATTCTGGTAAAAAACGGTTCTTGTAAAAAAGTTTCTACTGCACTCTTATATTCCTCTTGGTTTATTAATTATTACCAAAAACCGTAAAGGCTACCAGGGAAGGGATAGTTCAAACCCATCATAAGTTATCCTAGCGGAACATTTTTGATCACGAAAAGTTGACAGACCGAAATTAAGAAGAATTTTAAAAAATGATTGATATAAAGCACATCAATGATTTCAGTTAATACATAATTTATTGATGGCCTGAATGCCTTAATAAAAGGATACCACATTGTAACCAGGTTTTGGCAGTAAAGAGTCAGAAAGGCTTGATAGAAAAATCTTCAAAAGGTTAAAGTTACTGAGATGCATGTTCTAAGACTCAATTGGACGGTAAATAAAACAATTTAAAATGCAAAGCTGGCACTAAGAAAAAGGCTGTGCAAATATAATGATATCGTGTCTAATAGGGCTAGAGTAAGAGTGAAATAAAACCAAACAGCCCCTGGAATTTGACTGTAAAATACTAACAATATGGAGACATGATTGATCACCGCAGTTATACACACAACTTAAGCAGTTGTGAAATTAAAGCCTGAAAAAAAAAATCAGGTCTGAACAAGATTCGAACCCATGACCTCTGCGATACCGGTGCAGTGCTCTTCCAACTGAGCTATCAAGCCAATAAGGAGCTGGTCACTTCGTGAGTTCGTAATTAATTTTACAACTGCTTAAGTTGCGTGTATAACTGCGATGATCAATCACGTCTTCATATCGTTCTCTGCAGTTCAAATATATGATCTTTCATATATTCACTTGCATTCAACGAACAATATTAGTGGATAACTGAAAAGCAATTTTCGTTGCAGACTCGTTATTCGTTCTTGGAAATGCTCAAATCATAGAGAACCCTATCGTATACTCAAGTGACGGGTTTTGCAAGTTCACGGGTTTTACACGAGCAGAAGTTATGAAGAAGAACTGCGACTGCAGTTTCCTGTATGGTCAGCAGACAGACCCTGAGACTATTAGGGAGCTCCATAATGCCTTGCAGGCTAAGACTGCGATCCAAAAAGAGTTTATTGCATATAAGAAAGATGGTAAGGCGACCTTTTGTTTTTTCCAGGTAACGTTCCTTTTACAAAACATAGGCACGCAAGGAGTACAAAACATTATTTTAGAATACGGTTAAACTGGAGTACTTCGCAGAGGAAAACTATCTTTTAAGACATGTACAGTGAGTGCTAAGTAGTGACCGTGATTTCATCTTATTTAGAGCGGTTTTCATTTGAGTGCCAAAAAGTAACTGGTTTTCATCAACTATGGTACAGGATTGCGTGCCAATTTTTGATTCAATCAGAAGTAAAACCAAAACCGATCGTGATTCATTCGCACTCGTTTTCCCGCGCTTTGCGCCAGCTACATGTAAGTACCTCGAGTTTGGATTGGCTCACTGGATTGTCTGTGTTCTTTGTGATTGGCTAGAGCGATTACTTTGGTTTTGCTTTTACGATACTCGACTGAAAACCACTCTAATGATGCACATTGCCAAAAATTTAATGCCGAAGACTGTTTACTTACTTACGTGGGTCCCAATTGGTGATTAAACGCCAGAAGCGAATATTTAATTTATCTTACCTGGAACAAGAGCGTATTTTTAAAAAATGGCAGCTGTATGTTGACCATAACGTTCATTGTTCCCCGATGAAAAGGCTTTCAGTAGCGGCAAATAACTACGAACAATTAACGTTTTGCTCAGGTAACACTTTTGCTGAAGCTGGCAAAGTATTATTGTTTGCTTATATTATTTTTCAGGCACACCAATGTGGGTTCTTTTTCATCTTGGACCAATAAAGAACGAGAAAGGCGAAGTGATGTTGTTTCTCGTCACATTAAAAGACATCACAGAATACAAGGATCCTATAGTGGGCACAGGTCATGACATTTACTTCAAACGAAACTATTCTCTCTTTACATAAAGTTTTAAATTCACACGCTTCGTGACGTGACAATCCCCAATTCCCTCCATGAGAAGCGCCTGCAGGGAATCATGGTAGTTGTATTCATCATCTTGGACTGGATATTTGTTTTGATGAATACAACTACCATGATTCTCTGCAGGCGTGCGCCATAGAAGGGACAGGCCATAGGGAACTTAAACAAACCACGGCAGCAAGGGCGACAAAAATTCCACCAAACAAAAGATACAATAAGAAAAACCGTGGCTGTGCACGTGCGTTATAAATCTTTGTACTGTTTCTTAGCCGTATTCTGAAAAACAACCACACGTGAAATGAACAATATTGGCGTATTTTGGAGAATGTGAGTTACGACGGTTAATTTTTTCTATTTCCAGTTGGAATCGATCCCTTACATTACATATTTAGTCCGTCAGTGTACAATTCAGGGAGCAATCGGGCGAGTAATTTCATAATCGGACGAAGGCACAGCGTGAGGCTGATTTGAAATGACGAGCACGATTACTCTCTAAATAGGCGCGCGGAGAACCAATCACGATCGAGAATTTGGTTATATATACGATTAATGATGAAACATGCCTATTCTGTTAATTAAAAACTGTATGCGATGTTTTTAGAACAAACGTGGAAACTGTTGGAAACGTGTAACTCTTCTTTGAAAAAAGACTGTGAGTCTTGATGTATAAATAATGACAAGGCAGGAGGAGTAATCTCATGTACATTTATAATAATATGGCATTTTGGATGGTATAATGATCAGCATACGAGGACGAATTGTTGATACGAAAATATAGTGTTCTCGAGCCCGTCAGTGTGGGCAGGTTGTCAGTGGGAAGGAATATTCACCCTCGCAGTGTCTCTCTGACACACTAACACCTAGTGTGCCACTTATTTGTTCTTTCCACATTTTGACATCATCTGTAACTTATTACTGAACAGACTCACGGCAACATGGAATACATTTGTTAATCTGATGCCTCCAGATCCGTGCATCAGTGTAACATCTTTGTTAGCATCATGGGAAGGATTTGGACGCGACTCCATGACTTTTGGAAATCCTCTGTAGGAAAAAACATGGCGGCTGGTACATTTACCCATAATTCGTAGCGCACGGAAAACTTAACAACGGTCATAAAAACAAACAGAAAAGTTCCAACATCTTCAAACACCATAGCACAGGGACAAATATTGCAAAAATATGTCTTTCCTTGTACTTTATGGGCTGTGTTAGATATTGTAGTAAAATGTCCAGCTGCCATCATTTTTCCTACGGACGATTTGGAGTCTATAACCTCGTATAAAACCCCAGAGAACCAATCCTAAATGAGCTCTATCACGTTCATTGACGTTGGGTATGATCTTGGGGAGTTGAACGCTGATGTGTATGCTTTCTTTGTGCATTTTAGACAATGGAGGACCGAAAGGCTGGGCGCGACTGAATAAAACTCTCACACGACACAAATCAGTTCTTGTCGCATTCAAACAGAAAACATCGACACAGAGAAATGCTCAGCAAATCAGCAGTGTGAGTAGAATTATTTCTTGTTTTAATTTTACACATTTTCTTTCATCAGAAAATAGTCGTGAATTCGAAATAAACAAAATGAGGGTGTGGTGGACTGAAAATAATTGCACGATTTGCAGACGGTAAAACCTTAATGATTTGATAAGACTTACGTGATTATTATGGAAAAAATAATAGTTTCCCATCATCGTTTCCATGGTGACAAGCAGATAGGTCTCGATGGGGGGGAATTCCTACATTAAAGCGAGGAGACGTCAGACGTTCTAAGAGGAAACCTATCAACTGACGATAGTGGTTGGGATGTGCTCAAATTTTTTTCAATCAGCTCCTGCCAGAATTTCGAATCGTGCAGCTCTCTTTATGTAAATTTTTTCACTTTATTGTCATGTAGATTTTCAGTTAATTAACCCTTTGGATGCCGAAATAAAGTAGAGAAGCAGCCATTGAAACTGTAACACCCTAATCCGTAAGCTCCAGATCTCATGTAATCAAATATATGTTTTCACGTATCGGAGTAATATTTTTCGTGGTGGCTATTAATTTTTTTTCATTTATTATTCCCCTTTTAGCTTTCATTCCGCTCCAATAAAAATAAAAGCAGCACTGCTATAAGCTTTGTGCTCCAAAAAGTAGAAAACGCGATTCGAAAAAAATTATACATTGAAATTTCAGAACCAGAACATAACTAAACAAGGTTTAATCTGTATCACTGTAGATAAAAATCACCTGCTCGAAAATCAGCCATTATAGGCAAGGTTACAGGAAAAAAAAAACCTTAGAGTTGCTACGAAATTGTTGGTGCGACGCTTTTACGGCAAAAAATGCCTTTTCCCGCTGTAAAATGTCATGTTTGCCAAATCTGTTTTCGAGGTTACAAAAAGAGGCAAACAATTTTCAAATTCTCCGTGCCATACTAAAAACGTGCGCTTTTGTGCCTCCGTGCTGTCAGTCAACATTTGGGTAGTTTGAAGCTCTGTAGTTTGACAATTTGTCAAAACAAATTTCAGAGTTTGCTAGCTACCAATGTTTAACATATACAGACCCTTGTAATAATGGTACATTCACGTTTAAAATCGTCAACCTTTTAGTAGAGCTTTGGCTACGAGTGTGGAAAAGGAAGATCTTGCCTGACAAACAATTTTCCGCCAAGTTTTTGTGATTATTTTTAAGTGCTACCTTCCCCAATTCCAATTAATTGCAAGTAGCGCTCTTTCTGCAGTGAACCGATGCACCTGCCCCGGGGTTAACTCTAATTTATTAAGAAATATAATCTCCAGAAAAGGTTATTGAATAGATGTATGAAAACTCAGCATAATTTAAGCCAAAAGTTAAATATTCAAGCGAAAAAACTCGACTTTCCACTGTTGTTTTTTCTCGAAATTAGTTTGTGCGTATTTTACAAGACCTTTTCAACGAAACGGAATTGAAGCATTTCAGATTAGTGTTGTTTGTAGATTTCCTAACTTAAAAGGCGTCCTTGTTTACTCAAGTAATTTTTTGTAATCACTTTGCTCATGTAGAGAAGATTTTTGAATTTCAAAGTAGGGGACGCCCATTTGGTAATTAGAAAAGGTGACAGGCATTCCCAATCAGTTTGGATGAAACACAATTTTCATTACCTCGGTCGACGTGGATTGTCGCAATAAGGTTATTTTTTTCTGCTCGTATGACAACTCGGCAAAACAGAGTCACAACCTCATGTCGTTGGGAGACTGTCGATAAGCAATTTTAAAGGAATATGTCTCGTGTTAAACCTGAAGGAAATGCGACAACTTCCTGTCGACAGAAAGATTCACGGGTGAGTATTTATGAGCATTTATTCCGCGTTCAAATATTAAAACTCAAATAATGTCTGAGTTTTCTACACTGAGACGCAAAAACGTAATTTTACGGGCGACCATTTTTGACAACGCGACGTCCTGTTATTATGTGTTTCATTTTAAGTCGCTTATTCTTGTTGCATTTCAAATTCCAGATCAGTTTTATTATCCCGTCTGGACGACTAAAATTACCAAAAAATTTCAAAGCTTCAATATCGCTACTAAACCGAAAAAAACCTGGATTTATTACAAAATAAACGGAAGTTTTAAAGAAATATTTTTCCATGTTATCTGAAATGAAAACAGGAAAATAATTATAGTAATAATTGTATGTAAGAAAACTTTGCGATACTGGTCTCTCGTCTGCATTAATTGGCGTTCGTTATAAATTGCAAGTAAATCTTCAGCCAAATAACTTACTGTAATGAAAAATTATCATTTTATTTAGAGTCTGAAGAATCCAAGTGTAGAAGTTACGATGTTTGAACGGGGTTCCCTAGAGTTAAATAAGTATACACATGGTTGTTACAACTGTGATTACAATTTTGCTTTCAATAATTTCGCCGGTAGCCTCTGTAAATACTGTTAAAAGCTAGTACGTTTTACCCTGGCAAACACCTTTGTGGTTTAAATGTCTCAACACACCCTTGACAACTCAAAGGTTTTTGCGTCTATTTGTTTCTATGTTGAATAGAGAGAAGAAAGGAAACATTAACTAAACTTTGGTCACTAGTTTCCTTTCTTCTCTTTATTCAACAAAAAGCAAACAAACGTACGCAGAGGAAAAAGATTGAAGATCAGGTTGTCAACTTTCGTTCGGGGGAGGAAAGTTAATAAAAGCTTGATCTTTGATCGCAAATCGTTCGAGCAGCGAGCTTCAGATTAAGTGACTTTAAAGCACGAAACAGCAAAACGAGGAAACTTGCGCGAAAAATGAAATCTTTTTAATTCCTCAAGTCTTCGGATAATGTCAATAGGAAAACCAGGCCTGTCATCTTTGTGATAGCGGTCAGAGTCAAACTGATCTGGGCGGACTTTCCACTCACGGCGAAACCTTTCACGATAAAACTAAACATGAATCGAAATACAGTGGTTCGAATGCGAAAAAATCCGCCACTGAGGAGTTCTTTTTATGCATTTCTCAAACTCATTAATAATTCATCACATTTCCGCAGGAGAAATCATGACCGAGACGATGTTTGGATATCTGATCTTACATTAGCATATACTTTTACGATTTTATTTCTCCAAATTCTCCTCAGTTTTATTTTCGATTGAGAAGTTATATCAAACACAAAAGACAGTGTTTAATCACATTTCCAAACACCTCGACGTCCGTTATAACGCTTTCAACTCTCTTCTTGGTGTTTGGAAATGTGGTCAAACACGGTCTTTCGTGTTTGATAATTACGTCTAGATTTCCCCCTGCAATAAGCCAGTCACATCCGTTAGGAAAATATGCAGATTAATTCGTAAAAATAAGCTGAGTCGGAATGCTTTCTGGTCAACAAATAGTTCTCAAAATCTTTTGCCAAGTAACTCAGGCTTATGACAAAAATTCTCTTCTTTGTAAGGTGAATCTTGTGTTAAAACTTTTTCATGATCATTGATTTCAGCTCATGTCCCTGAATGATGAATTATTACCAGACTACAAGCTCGACGTACCACATACTCCACCGAGAGTCATTCTGCACTACACCACCTTCAAAACAACTTGGGACTGGATTATTTTGTTCCTGACACTGTACACCACCATCTCGGTGCCTTTCCTCGTTTGCTTTGCGTTCGAACACAAAGCCGTGTCCATCATTGACCTGTTTGTTGATTGGCTGTTTCTTGCCGACATTGCTTTGAACTTTCACACAACCTATGTAGGTAAGGATGGCGAGGTGATCGATGATCTTAAGATGATACGCTGGAATTATATGCGGAGTTGGTTCTTTTTGGACTTAGTCTCCTCGCTGCCTTATGGCGTCCTAGCTTTTATAACCAAGGATTCGGAAACGGTGAGTTCTTTCAATTTATTTCTCAAGTAACCGACGTATAGTTTTTTTTTTCAGTTTATCGATACATTGTCAAGCAAACAGGTTATTAGATTAAAGAAAATCATCAGTCAACATCAAATGCGTAAAATGGACGCACGTTAGAGTGGCAAAAAATAAAAATATAAAAAATAACTAACTTTATTTAAGTGTCAAATGTATTCAGCAATGTTATGCTAATTGGGGACACTGTAACTGAATAAAGAAACAAATATTTCAAATAGAACATAAACTACAGTCTACTCCCAATAACTCGAACCTTCAGGGGAAATAGAAAATGGTTCGAGTTATCGGAAGTTCGAGTTATCGAGGGTAAAATTACATAGAAAATGGCCTGAAGGGAAATGAAAATTACTTCGAGAGAGGTTCGAGTTAGCAAGGGTTCGAGTTATCGGGAGTCAACTGTATTAAGAATCCCAACTTGTGGGAGACTGACCAGTTGGCTATTTACACAACGCCGTCGAGGAACTACCGAGAACAGGGACTTCCAGATTTCAAATCCAACGCCCTTACCCACTCGGCCACGCCGCCTCCTGTAGCCTCCGCTGTATATATGACAATCAGTAGGAATGAGCAAAAACCTCATACGATGCGTGACACTGCCGAAAAGTTGTATATAAGGCCAAAATGCTCTGAAAAGTGTCAAATTTATTCTGAAAAACGAAACGTTTCGGGCCTAGCCCTTCTTCAGTAGGTGGATTTCAATCAGTGTGAAGTAGCTAGCTGTATTAGGCGTTCTTCTCGTCCTCAATTCATTTCTCACCTTTATTGTTGACTGTCGCTCAAGGTACTTATAATTCGTCTCCCACACTGCATTTCTATTTTTATTTGCTCAATAAATGGTTATCTAACGTTATGCGCCTTAATTAACTGAATTTTAGAGACAGCAGTTCCTGAAATTCTTGTTTTACTCTTATAATCACGACGCATCTGCCGTATTTTCTTGATTAAAAGCCGGGTCTCGAATGAACGCCGGCTTCCCTAGGAAGATTTGTAAATAAGACCCTCAAGGAATTTATATTCGAGGTACAATGAGCTTAACGTATAACTATGATATTCAGCTCTCAAAAATCACGGAATAAAACCTCTAATAAACTCCAGGCTCGAATAAACTGCAAAAGTCAAATAAACGCCAGATTCAGGAGGATCCATGAAGGAGGCCAAGCTTGAAACAAACGCCAGGAGGGACGAGGGAGGGGGATAATCGAGATAATACGGTATATTATTTTGAGATCATATAAATATCTCGCATTATGAGCATGGTACTTAGTTATGCCTATTCGGTATCTATTTGTTTGTTTTTTTAGAACGCCACAACTCTGCTCGGATTTCTAAAAGTATTTCGTCTTTTACGACTGGGACGGGTTGCAAGGAAAATTGATAAATACCTGGAGTATGGAGCTTCCACGTTCTTTCTTCTTATGCTTTCATTCTGCCTGGTAGCTCACTGGATGGCTTGCATCTTCTACTTAATCGCTACCGGATATGACAAATACGAACCTCACGGCTGGCTTCAGGCTCTGGGTCGGACCGTTGGGGAGCCTTACAAATTAAAGAATGGGACAGATGACGTTGATCCGACAACCGGTCCTACTATTCCTTCGAAGTATGTGTCGGCACTTTACTACACACTGACCAGCCTTACGACGATCGGGTTCGGAAATATAGCGCCCAACACAACAGCTGAGAAACTGTTTGGCTGCATCACTATGTTGCTGGGAGGTGAGACATTGTTTGCTTTGTCTGTGCGCACGAAGTCAATTTGGGATCCTAGGGGTGGTGGGTTTACCAAGAAAAACTAGTCTAGGACATGCGTACGTACAATTTGGGAGGTTATGAAATGGGTGGAGTCAAAAGAGAGGATAAAGAGTATAAGAGAGTTGATCCCCTTTACGTAATCCCGCTCGAGCTATTTATTGGAATGGTACCAAGTTCTCCTGCGGATCATAATGTACCCTTTAATATTTTAACCAGGCGGAGTCAGTTTGTTTTGGAACAAATCTTTTCTTTTTTTTATCTTTTAATTTTGGGGAAGGTAGGAGATGTAGTTACATGCTCTAAAAGGTTATATTTTATGAGGTTTAAGGCTGGATATTTTTGTAGCTAGAGGAGAGGGGTTTAGGCTTATTGTCGCCGCAGTCTGTACGAAAATATCTTGTCATTTTAGTGGTTTTAGTTTCATTTTTAAGACATTTTGACACAGATAATTTACAATACTAACATTACATACAATACTAACATAACTTACATCACTAACATTAATTACGATATTACTTACAATACTGAGTCCACTTACAATATTATCATTACTTACAATATTATCTTTACTTTCAATATTAACATTACTTATAATACTGATATTACTTACAATGTTATCATTATTTGCAATACTAACATTACTTTCAATACTAGCATTACTTAAAATATTATCATTACTTCCAATGGTATTGTATTACTTCCAGTGCTATAGCATTACTTAGGCCAAGTTCAGACGCCGTACTTCACATGAGCCGAAACGAATGCAAATGAGAAAAATCCTTTGTTCGTCCTCATTGGCATTCGATTCGGCTCATGTGAAGTACGGCGTTTGAACCGGGCATTACAATGCTAGCATTACTTACAATATTAATATTACTTACAATACTAACTCCACTTGCAATATTATCATTACTTGCAATACTAACATTACTTTCAACACTAGCATTACTTACAATGCTAGCATTACTTACAATATTAATGTTACTTACAATATACTAACAATATACTATCTCTACTTACACTATTATCATTACTTGCAATACTAACATTACTTTCAATACTAACTCTACTTGCAATATTATCATTACTTCCAATACTATAGCATTACTTATAATATTAATATTACTTACAATACTAACTCTACTTACAATATTATCATTGCTGGCAATACTACTCATTTTGAATGCATGGTATCTTTAGTTAAGTTTCTTTGGTTAAGTTTCATTTTATTTGTAAGTAGAATGAAGTCAGCCAGTACTTCTTCACATTTTCACAATAACTGACATTTGTACACTATCATTTTTTCAGCGATTCTTTTCTCCTTAATTTTTGGTCAAGTCTCGGCCATACTTCAACAAGCACAGAAAAACACCGCCAAATACCACTCAATCATCGACAACATGAAGCAATTTAGTAAACTGTACAAGCTGCCAACCGAACTCGCTACAAGGACCATTGATTTCTTCATGTCCACGTGGGCAATGAACAAAGGAATTGACACAGATGAGGTAATTATTGATATGCTTCATTTACCTTAATTTTCTAAGTGATGGCAGACAGGTTACAACAATATATAAGAAAATCATCGGTTGATTGGCGGACACACGTTTGTCGCGTTCTTCTATAGTTCCCCCCCCCCCCACCCCCTCCCAGAAACATTCTTTCTTATGGAAAAGAATATTTTATGGTTTTGAGCCATCTTGGCTTCGTACTGTAGATCCTGAATGTCAGCCATCTCCTAGGGAGACTTGCTCCCAATAGCGAAAGCGACCAGAGAAGACGATACAAATTTAGACATAGGTGTCCTTCTAAGTTTATATGGCGTTTTCGGGTCCTGGCCGAAAGCACAAAGCTGCACCTAGCAGTATTGGTAGGGCGGCCTAAGGAAAATTCAGGAAACAGTTGGACAAAACTTAGCTACCGACACTGCGACTAGTCATACCATATTCCAACCTCGCATTAGGCCTTCCTAAGGGGCTGGGAGAGAAAACCTTCTCTTGCTTTTCCCTCTCTTTGCTACCCCTTTCCCCTTACTTTCTTGAGCCTGATAAGCGGACTAGCCATTTCCAGGAATCAGACGGGGTAGATGGGACTTTACCTTCCCTGCCTTTACTGTGGCAGTCATGTTTATACCTAACACGCTTAGTAACTAGACGCAAAGAGCTTCTCCCCTCATTCACCTGCAGGTTTTAAAATACTGTCCTAAAGATCTCCAAGCAGACATCTGCGTCCATCTCAACAGAATTATTCTCGAGAACAATCCCGCGTTTCGGGACGCAAACACGGGAGTCAAGCGCGCGGTCGCGCGAAACTTCTGGATCTCGCACGTGGCACCTGGTGATCGAATCATTCATCACGGAGAAAGTTTGGATGTGCTTTACTTTATCGCACGCGGATCTCTCGAAGTCAAACAGGGAGATACTGTTGTAGGTTTGTTAGGTAAGTAACATATCAAAGAGGTTCTTCTTCATTGTGGGACATAAAATTTGATTTTATGAAAGCACGAAAAAAGCACATTCAATGGGCTCTTTGGAAACAGGAGTGGACACTAATAGACAAAAGAGAGAAATATAATGAGTATGATGAGCGACTCGTCAAGCAAATTGTCTTTATTTATCATAGGTGAGAATGACGTATTTGGAGACGACATATGCCATGAGTCCACAGTCGGCCAGTCAGCGGTAGACGTGTTAGCACTAACATACTGTGACCTTCACTGGATTCAAAGAGATGCGCTAATCGAGGTCCTGGAGTTCTACCCGGAGTTTGCGAATAAATTCACCAAGAACCTTGTGTTATCCTACAATTTAAGAGACGAGGTAACGCGCTGGTTTTCTCATATCTAGAGGATCTAAGATTAACGGGAGGCAGCGTGGCCGAGTGGTTAGAGCGCCAGATTCGAAATCCGTAGGTCCCGGGTTCAAATCCCGTTCTGATCGCTAGTGATGGTGTTCTCGGTAGCCCCGAGTTCAACTTCTCGACTACGCTTGTAACTAGGCAACTGGTCTGCCTCCCGCCAGTAGGGATTCTTAACCTAGTTATGTTTGTTTGAATATTTATTTATCATTGTTTGTTTACATTGGTCCTGAAAAGCCCCGATGGGGAGTGGCCAATTACGTATACAATTTTTTTTATATTTTTTACAATACAATTCTATGTATCAGGAGCTTGCTATGAGATGATCACTCTACTCCTTGTATATGGCTGGTACGCTTGAAATTTGAATTGACCAATCAGGATTCAGCAGGCTGGGAAAAACTTTGTTGTCTTGACGTCAATGTATGTTAACAGGAAAGGCATTGAAATTGGGAAACATTTCTCACTGGAGATGGCGTTGAATATTCAAGAAAAGGAATTTACAATTTCAATAAAACAAAATCAGATTGTAAAAAGCGAAAAATAGGAATCATTTTGTGTCTTCAAGCTTTTAATTTGGCGCCAAAAATGGCCGCCCGCGTTCGGCAATTCGGTCTTCGATTGCTGTCGCGAGGTAGGGCAATGGTTGTGTCATTTACTCGAATTCTCGAGTTAAGAATTAGACATATGAGTCAAGTAAAGAGCGCGATTTTAGTTTTGGATTTTGGCTTTATATAAATAAAGTGTTATGATTAGTTCAGTTATTACTGTTATCATATAACAAAAGTTACAAATCAAACCCGTTTGACATTACACTTTCAGCTCAAGATTCGTAAGCGCACCCCTCGGTTGGAAATGGCCAACGAGGACCAACATGACAACAGACCACCAAGTGTGTCTGCTTTTCGGTCAAGAAGACAAAATAGAAAGCTGAGTTTGGTGGAGGAATTGGCGCAGAATTACGAGTTTGACGACAATCAGGTTGACGGTGGAGAAACAAGTGACGCGGAAATCGACATGATGGTCATCCCGAAATCACGAACAAAAAGTATGACTTCAAACGTTGTACGAGCGCGCCCCGATGTTCCAGAATCGGGCACCGACGTGCTGTCGAGTTTGTCCGAAATGAAAGGCGAAGTGCGCCGAGAAATCGAAGTCATGAATATGAAAATGACGCAACTAGAGGAACAAATTTCCACGATTCTGTCAATTTTAAAAAGCCAGGGACATTTGCATAGCCCGCGGGGTTACGGATCTCCCAGGGATAGTATCGACAAAGGACGGATGTCGTCTACTTCGTATCTTAACGATACATCTCTCCAAGAGGAGGCTCCGAGCAAGACAAAAACTGAGGAAGAACCATTACCGGATTGGCTTGCTCCGTCTGGGTCCCCTGTGGCTCGAACCAATAGCGTTCCAGACTGGGACAACACTTCCACGCAGGCGCAGGAAGACAACTCGGCCCAGGCTGCTAACTTGTTGAACAACCAGTCAGGTCAAAGCGCAACTGCCGACGCGGATCCAAGACTATTGCAGACGCTCAATCTTTTCAAAAGAGCCGGAAAAAAATAAGATACGTCAAAATCACACGTCTACAGCAAGTGTACAGGCAAAGAGTGAAACTAGGAGTAGCATACGTGACAAACAGCCTGGAGATAACAAAGTTCTTTGGAGGAGTGTTGACATTAGCGTGGTTTAAAGATGACTGAAGTATTGTTCAAGTTAGTGAGCCACAAAGTGTGTAGAGAGATGGCAGACTCGTCAGTTCAGAGATGACAACGTTGTAGAGACGAAAGAAGACAAGGAATTCTCGCCGAATTCGTAGAATAGACGATATTCTCAAAGACAGAGAAAGAAAAAAACTGGACCATCCACAGTGCTAGCCAAATGTTAAACAGAGGGTTTGGACACATTGTTCGCAAGCCAGCGAGTTGGCTTTATTCATGTAGTTACATTCTAAATTTTCCATGAGTTTTTCATGGCACCACTCACAGCAACTGCGCAGGCGCAGCATTCAGTACATAGTGGAGAATACACGCACCCGGATTTTCAGCATATTGCGATCATTCCACGTCAATTGACGTTATCAGCGAAAGCTGGCTTGCATATTAAGTCATGGAGAATTACTTCGCCTGACGCTGTATGCATACTTAAGTGTGTAAACCCCCTCCCTCCTGGTGTAAGATAATCACCATGGACATGATCCCAAAATGACGAAAATATGACCCGGGTGTACTTACTCCATAATGCAGAATCTAGCAATGTTTCATTTATTTTACACAGTGAAATCCCGATTTTTCGAACCCTCCAAGGGAAACGAAAATTAAGTGGAAAAATCGTGGAGTTCGAGAAATCGGAGGTAAAATTACAGTGTTGGAGTGAGGAGAGGGAAACGACTTTTGGTTCGAATTATTGGGAGGTTCGAAAAATCGAGGGTTCGAGAAATCGAGATTCCACTGTCACGGTATATATTTCCACTACAAATGTCATCGCAGCTGCGAGATAGCCATATCATTCAGCGCTCTGAATTCACCAAGCCAACGCACAGGTTATCTTTGCATTTTCGGTAGATGTAAATGAAAAAGAAAACAGAAAAACAAAATCAGGCAAAACAACGGAAATTATTTATAAACACCAATAACAACAAAGTATGATCATGTTTCAATGACCCGCACCAAGAACGAATACGTAGAAATAGATTTCTAACAGTACGCAAAGCTCAAGAAAAACGGTAAATTTTGTTTCTCCCAAGAGGCAAAACTCTCTTTGCGGATAGTGGTTCCATGTTTTGTAATACCCCGGAACTGAAAACAATATAATTCTGGTGGACGCAACGTACGCATCAATTTAGCGCGAACTTAAGGCGCACGACCTGGTCACGTGCCAACCCAAAATTCAATCAGATGTTGTCCCAATGCCTTAGGGAGTTACATTATTTTAAGAAGCGGGAGCTTAAGTAAATCACGACGACAACGGCAACGATAACTTCACCAAACATAAGGTATAATGAGCAAGACAATGGCTGTGCATGTGCGTTATAAATCTTTGTATATTCCATACCCGTCCTCTGCAAAACAGCAATTTAGACGTAAAATGACCAAGTTCTGCGTAGTCTGGGCAACGCGAACCACGGCGGCTAAGTTTTCATATTTCTGTTTTGAATTAAACGCTGTCATTACATATTTAGTCTCGGCAAGTTTTCTTTAGAGCCACAGGCGTAATAGACACATCTGGACAATTGCGAAGTTCGTAGGTAAAATAAAATTCATTTTAGCTAGAAGCCATCTTCAGTGTCGCCATCGTCATTGCTTCAGCTCCCTATTAGTAACCCGCGATCAGACGACGCTTTTTGAGAGAGAAGGAGAAAAAAGGGATGAGATACAGGGAGAGAAGGAGGGTGTGATCGTAGGATATCGTAATATATTCAAAAAATGTTATCATCTAATCGCAAAAAAAACAAGTGTTTCTGTTGTAAATTAGTTTTCCTTCTTACGCACACTCTTGTTCGGGGCCGTTCAGTTCTTTATTCGATCGGTTTTAATTAAATATAATGCAGCTGTCAAACAGCCTCTGTATTTATCAAACGTTATTTATTACTATTAAGTATAAAGTCATTATTTATTGATGATGATAATGATGACGATGATGATAATGATGATGATGATATTAATGATAATGGTGACGAAAGTGATAGT